AGCATACCACTGCACTCTAGACTGGGTGACAGAGCAAGACTCTGTCTCAAAAGAAAAAAAAAAAAAAGGAATGGAATGAGGTGATCTCCAAGGGCTTATCTAATTCGCATGCCCTGGATGAGTTCAGTTTCTAGATACAGAGAACATCACACAAAAAAGGTCACAATATTTGAAATCAGACTTACTAATACACAGACTTCTTTGGATGGCAAGAAATTGAAAAGAAAACAGCCACTGGACTCTCCCACTGGGAACTCGGACAAAATAAACCACTATCCTCTAGGTTGCAACTGCATCCCAGGCTGCTGTATCCACTCACTGCCTGAAGAACCCAGCCGCAGCTTTTGGTTTTGTGGCCAATGACTGCCCAGCCCTCTCCCAGTGGCCTTGGGATGAAATCCAGCTGCTCTGAATCTTCGCATTTATTTTGTTCATTGTGAAGTTGTTTTCCATGACAGAAATATAACTAAATTACAGAAATTTAGGGTTAGAAGCGGGAGGATTGTAATTTATCCCCAAATCCTGCAACTTTTAAGTTTCCTCCTAGAATCTTCCTGTGTTTGCCTTGTTACTGCTCGATCTGCCAAGAACCAAATGAATGCCAAAGAGCATCTTGTTCCTAGACTGTTTTCCCTCGGTCCCACAGGCCAAAAAACACACTCTTGCCATGTCTGTTTCTGAGAGCTCTGGTCTGGGAATCTTTTCCTGAAAAACTTTTTTTTTTTTTTTTTTTTGAGACGGAGTTTCGCTCGTCACCCAGACTGGAGTGCGACGGCGCAATCTCGGCTCACTGCAACCTCTGCTTCCTGGGTTCAAGTGATTCTCCTGGGTTCAAGCGATTCTCCTGCCTCAGCTTCTCAAGTAGCTGGGATTACAGGCATGTGCCACCACACCCGGCTAATTTTTTTGTATTATTAGTAGAGACGGGGTTTCACCGTGTTGGCCAGGCTGGTCTCGAACTCCTGACCTCAGGTGATCCACCTGCCCCGCCCTCCCAAAGTGCTGGAATTACAGGCGTGAGCCACCGCTCCCGGCCTTTCCTGGAATGTTTTATGCTGAAACATAACAGAAATGAACCCAGGGGCAGGGCTTACAGCCCTTCTACGCTGCGCATAGAACTCCCTCTTCACCACTTGCTCCTGTGAGGAACAGAAAAGAGCACAGCCAAAGGAAATGTATTCCAATCCCCAGCCCACCTCAGATTAGCTGTGACTTCAGGCTCATCCCTTCACCTTCTGGACCCTGCTTTCCTCATCTGTAAAGTAGGAACAAGTAGATAGTACAAACTTCTAAGATCCAGGAGGATGAAATAGGGTAATGTACAGATAAGCTGAAAATGTTTGTGATGAGTGAATGTGCCTCCAGTGGAAAAGCCTATATGCAGGCATGGATATGTCTGAATCTCACAGATGGGTCCACATCTGATGGTGTCAGATCTCTCCAGAGACCACCTCTATTCAATTCAGCAAACATGCTGCCGCAGGTCATGTTCAGGTCTCTGGAGCCTTGTCACTGAGGGGCTTGCATCTGGCAGGAGAGATTCAGGGCAACAGCAGAATGAAGCCAGAGACTGAAAGATGACCAAGGGGCAGTAGGAGCACAGGATAGGGGCATCTGTCATTTCTCCCTCCCTGGGGTCTCAGGCTCACTAAGACCTGAGATTGGGCAGGGCAGGCAGAGGCCATGGTCCTCATGCCTACAGAACAGCTCTGCAGAAGAGCCGTGTCGCCTTTGGGGAGGCTTGGGGCAGGAAGTTTCACAGGTGGGGAATATGAGAGCCTGCCCAAGATCTTGGCAGGAAGACAGAACTGGAGAGCCCAAACTAGGCCTCCAGAAGCCCTGAGCAGCCTCTTTGAAGAATCTGAATCCAGTTTTTAGAAAAGTGGGCATCAGAGGCCTGGGTTCTTACCCAGCTCTGCTATGTGAGCCAAGGGAGCTGCCCCATCTCTGGGCCTCAGTTTTTATACCCATGAGTGCGGGCCATTCCAGATTTGACCTAGGCACCCGAATTCAGGCAGGCAGCCCCTGAGCACCAGAGTCCTGAAAACCTGAGCACTGACTGCTGAGAGCCTGGAGGAGCTGTCAGCATCCATTTTCACCCCTCTGCTGAACGGGACTGAAGAGACTGGAGGGAGGAACAGCCTTCCTGCTGACATGCCCCTGTGAACTCCTCTGCTCAGTCTGTGAGCTCCTCTTCCTCCTGTCTACCGGGAACTCCTTGGCCTGTTTCTGGCCTTACAGACTTGTTCCTCCAGGAATCACCCCGTCCTACTGGGAGGGGGACCTCCAAGCAAGTTAAGGTGAACATGTGCTCCTTGAGAGAGGCAACTCCACCCGACAGCAGCTGCGTGTGTGGTAAGATTGACGCCCCTAAGGTACAAGGGAAGGCTTTGGTGGAGCCGAGGGATCACCGTCCCAGAGATCAGTCAGACCATTTCCTGAGCACCTCCTCTGGGCTCTCTAAGCACAGTCTCCACTGCAACCCTGTGAAATGGGGGAGAAACACAATGGCACAGCTGGCCTCCCAGGATTCAAGTTCCCTCACTCCCGTGTCCCTGCATGTCCCTCACTTCAAGGGATACTAACTGTCCAGGCTCAGGACCCAGAATAGAAAAGGGCAAAGATGCAGGGAGGGAGTCAGGTTAGACACAAGGCTAGCATCACACCTCTACCCCCGTGGTGTCAGGCAGGGGGCACACCCTGGGGGAGGGGGCATGCCCTGCAGCCCTGCCTAATTGGGAATCTGAACACCTTGCTTTTAAAAGAGTGTGTGTAATGCAGCCACAGTCCAGCTGCAGGGCCTCTCTGAGCTCAGTTTTCTCACCTGGGAAACATGGTATCTACATGGCAGTGCAGTTGGGAGGAACAAATAACGCTGCAAAAAGGGTGCAGGGCAGGGCCTGGCATCTCTTAAGGGCTCAGTCACGGTGGCTGTAGGAGTGTCGGTCTCCCCAGCTGTGTGTCGCTGGAAATTGGAATGGCCACAGTAGACTAGGCAGCTGGTGACCCCTGGTGGCTACTGGGAGCCAGGGCATGAGGGCTGGGGCAGAGTAGAAGTCTCAGTATTGAAGAATGTTGGAACCCAAGACTCTTAGACTGTTAGACTGGCTGAGTCCTTGAATAAGAGAAGGTTGCTGAGATGGAGTTTCACTCTTGTTGCCCAGGCTACAGTGCAATGGTGCATTCTCGGCCCACTGCAACTTCCTCCTCTGGGTTCGTGATTCTCCTGCCTCAGCCTCACAAGTATTTGGGATTACAGGCATGTGCCACCACGCCCAACTAATTTTGTATTTTTAGTAGAGACAAGATTTCACTATGTTGCTCAGGCTGGCCTCGAACTCCTGACCTCAGGTGATCCGTCCTCCTCGGCCTCCCAAAGTGCTGGGATTACAGGTGTGATCCCACCACGCCCAGCCTGAATAAGAAAATTTAACCACTTAATAAACATTTCCTGAGTCATTCTCTGTGCCAGGCCTGATCCCAGGGAATAAATCTATTCCTATCCTGGCCTCTTCCAAGAATTCCTTGGCTTAAAATGGAGGGAGGCAGATACAAAAGGGGAGCTCAGAGACAGAGGAGGCCTCTTCCCAGCTTGGCAGGCAAAGGAAGGGGAATCCTGAAAGAAAAATTTGAATTGGGGGCTGGGAGGGAAGGAGAACATTCTGGGAAGAAAGAAAAGCACGTCTGAGACGCACTCATGATAGCAAGGAATAGCCAGGCACGGTGGCATGCACCTGTAGGCCCAGCTACCAGGGAGGCTAAGGCAGGAGGATCGCTTGAGCACAGGAGTTTCAGACCAGCCTGGGCAACATAGTGAGACCTCATCTCTAAATGAGTAAATGAATGAGTGAATAGCAAGGAAATAAGAGGCAGCTGAGAGGCCAGCAGAGTCACATCCCAGGGGCTCCAAATTTCATGCTGGGGTTGGGGGTGGTCTCTAAAGGCAGCAGGGGAACTCCAAAGGATTGGACTTGTGACCATGACACCCTAGAAAGTCACCCTGTTGGGCCAAGCATGGTGCTGTGCACCTGTAATCCCAGCCCTTTGGGAGGACCAGGTGGAAGGCTTACTTAAACCAAGGGGTTTAAGGCTGCAGGGGTTTGAGGCTGCAGTGAGGTTTTTTGTGTGTCTCAAAAGCAACAACAACAAAAAAAGTCGCTCTGGCCATAGTAAGGGAAAGGATTGGATGGGGAGGCTGCAAGTCTAGAAGGTGGCCCACAGTGGCAGGAGGGATGGAGGAGTACTAGATCCAGCAGCACAAGGTCCCAGGGACATGGGGTGCAGGAGGAACAGATCACTTGCAGGGGAGATGATGGCCAGGAGGCAGCCGAACCAAAAGTAGTGAATGGTCTGGAAGTCAACAGAGTATAGGTGTTGCCATTTAACCAACACTGTCTGTCTCCACAGGCCTGTGCCCAGTCCTAGGTGTGAAGGAAGTTGGTTTGCCCCAACTCTGCCCTGTGGGCTCTGCCTTGTAAGCAAAGCCCCAGGCCCAGGTCTGGCCCACAGCTGCCCTCCCCCAGGCACAGACACATAGAGGCCCTACTCTGCCCCACCCTGGGCACTACCTCTGGAGGAAGAACGCAGACTCAGTCTAAGGGAGGCCCCATGGACCAAGGACTTTGATATCACTACCTGGGTTTTTAGGATCTTCCCACCAGGACCCCTCTGGGTTGCCTCCCTGCCCCTTCCTCAGAGCTCCCCCAGCCCCTCTTCAGCTTCAGTCTACCCTGGGTGCCTGAAGCAGGTGGGCCTAACATGTTGCTTAGGCCTCAGGACCAGGTTGGACCAGGAGTCACATCCATGGCTCTTTGCCACCTCAGGGCCTTTCTTCCTGCTGTTTCCATGGTTAGACTTGAGCAGCACCTGTCTCCGCAGGCAGAGACTGGGCTGGCTGCCCCAGCTCTGTATGGAAGGAGGAAGGGGGCCAAACCTGGGTCTCCCAGAGCCCACTAGCCCAAAGGTCTCCATATCATGAATGCTGCAAAGAGGCAGGCAGACGCAGTTTAGATATCATTTTTTTTCTACTTGGGGAGAAAAAGTGAGGAGATAGAGATAAAAATACAAAGAAAAACTAGCTTCATTTTTAAACAAACAGGCCAGGTCCTACCAGGCCTTCTTCCCCATTAAATCCCAAGGCCATCTCCAGTACCAACCCCAACCCCCGCACGGCGCCGAGGGAAGCTTCAGGCTTCGGGCAAGAGCTCCAGCCCAGGCAGGGAAGTCATGGCCCTAGTGCCAGAGCACAACCTTCCTGCCCTGGTCCACGCTCACCACGTGGCTCCCGGAGTAGCACCAGGCCACAGCATTGACAGCAGTGCTGGGGAAAGGGAGGGACAGGCTTCAGGGGGGCTTTGGGAACTATGCCTGCAACCTGGCTCTGCCCCGACTGCTGGACCTGGGTAGTTTGAGGCCCTCTCTTGAGCCTGTTTCCTCATCTGTAAAGTGAGCTCACAGAGCTGTGGAAAGGACAGACCCAGTGTGTGTGGAAAGTACCTTGTGAACTGCAAAGGGCTCTGGTCGGGTGGAGGGTGGAGGGACAAGGGCTGGAGACTCCAGAGTCCCAGTATGTCAGAACCTGGAATCAGCCTGGCAGGACTGGGGCCAGGCAGGTGGAGGCCATGCTCACCAGTGGGGTCCCTGAAGTCTGCTTTCCAGTTTCCCGGTGTCCACATCCCAGATGTAAAGGGCCCCATCATAGGAGCCTGCCAGTGCATAGCTTCTGTCCGGGCTGTAGTGGCCACAGCAGAGCAAAAAAAGTGGGGGTGGGGTCAGAGAGGAGGGCACACACAGGGTCCAGCAGGGCACACTTGGACACAGGCATATGCTCTCACAGACATACCTGAATACAGCTTTGGTCCAGTCAGAACCGCACTTGAAGCCATCAGCCCTGAGGACAGACAGGGCTGGGGTCAGAACAGAGGTCACCACTAGTCCCTCTGCAGGGAGCTTCCAGAGCTTCCACTCTGTCAAGGGGTTTGGTACCTCAGCAGGACCTGGTCTGGAGGGGCCTCCAGGGAGGGTCCCAAGAGGGTCTATTACAGGAGAAGAGAGGCTCAGCTGTCCCAGCAAAGGCCACAGGGTCAGCAGGCATGAGGCTGGTACCTGAACACCTGGCGGATGTTGCTGACACGCAGGTCGATGACCTTGAGTGTGTTGTCTCGGGAACAGCTGAGCAGGTGCAGCTGGTCGTGGCTGAGGCTCAGGGAGGTGACCCGACCCTGCACAGGGATGACCTGGGTGCAGTGGGGCCCCCTGAGGAACAAGGACAGAGACAGGGATGAGGAACAGCCCAGCCAGGCCACTCCTGACAGGAAGGGGCCAGGCGCAGCAGCCTTCCCAGCTAACCAAGTCCAGAGGAACCCCAGGGCCCTGGATCCCTGGGGTAAAGGCTGCCCGTGACTCATCTCCCTTCTCCTCACTGCAGCCAGCTGCCTCCATCGAGGAACCTAGACTTTGATTTGAAAGCCAGAGCCCTTGAAACCTTTGGGTCACTAAAATAAGCACCATATCATCTGAGCAATGAAGTCTTGTCTTTAAAAAATGTAAGAGAGAGAAGAAAGGGTTGCAAACAGTAGTTGATGGAGGTCAGTAAAGGCTTGAGGCAGGCCTAGCACTGGCTCTAGCTTTGCTTTTTTTTTTTTTTTTTTTGAGGCGGAGTCTGGCTCTCTTGCCCAGGCTGGAGTGCAGTGGCCGGATCTCAGCTCACTGCAAGCTCCGCCTCCTGGGTTCAAGCGATTCTCCTGCCTCAGCCTCCCGAGTAGCTGGGATTACAGGGATCTGCCACCACACTCAGCTAATATTTTTAGTAGAGACAGGGTTTCTCCATGTTGGCCAGGCTGGTCTCGAACTCCTGACCTCAGGTGATCCGCCCACCTCGGCCTCCCAAAAAGCTGGGATTACAGGTGTGAGCCACCATGCCCGGCCTCTAGCTTTGCTCTTACAAACAATTCAAGCCCAAAGTTAGGATCTTTGGTTTAAAAAACAACTACAATAATTTTTTTCCTTTTGATATAAAAGTGGTAACTAAATGGAAAAAGGTACATCTCCATCTTGGTTGCAAGGTCCAGGTGGAGTCCAGCATTGGACCAAGAGCCATGAAGACAGTGGCACAGCTTCCTGGGGGAGCTGAGCCCAGCCAAGAGGCACTAGCTGGCAGTGCCAGCCCCACAGCCTTGCCTGCCCAAAGTGCCACCAAAACTCATCCTGCCATGGCCAGAGAAAGGAACAAGAACTTGGGAGCCCTGTCCCCAGCCCTCCCCCAGTCCTCCCCCAGCCTGCGCCTGTCACCTGCTGTCCCAGAACCGGATCTTCTGGTCATTATGGCCACTAATGATGATATGGTCCCCACACACCACGTCATTACAGTAGGAAAGGACATTGATGGTCCTGGAGCCTGGGGACCAAGCAGCAGACCCCAGGGCCTCAGAGGAGGGTTGTCAGGAGCCACCCCACAGGACACATGGAGAAGCTGAGGCCCAGAACGCAGTGTCCTCCCAAGACTAGAACCCAGGTCTTCTGCTTCCCAGCCCAGGGCTCACCCACGTCTTTTTCCCACCCACAGCCTGTGGACACCAAGAAACCAGGCAGAAAACACCATTGGGGGATACCATTGGGGGACTGGAGGGCCTTGAGAGGTTTCACCCCCAAATGCCTATGAATCTCAGAGCCACTCCCAGAGAGCAGGTGAGGTCCCTCGTACCCTGGCCTGGGGCTCCTGGCTGGTGGGGAGGGGAGGTGGGGTTGGGGCTCACAGTAGGCACGGCCGAGGTCCCACTCCTTCACTGTCCGGTCACGGCTCCCAGTCACTGCCTGGTGCCTTGTCAGCTTGAATTTGGCAGCTGTCACCTTATCTTTGTGTCCAGACAGTGTCTCCTGTACCCCAGCCCCAGGTGCGGATCAAGAGTTTGGCCAAGACCCCATAACAGGCCCCCTAGTCCTGACGTATGACCCCCTGACCCCCAGGCAGCCTCCCCAGTCAGGCCTCACCTTGGACTGTGCCTCCCCCACCTTCCAGAGCTGGGCAGCCTGGTTGTAAGTTGCTGCTAAAACCTGGTAGCCCTGGAGAAATGGGAGAGGAAAATGAGAGGCGCTAAGCCGTAGGCAACATCCTTCGGGCCAGAGAATGAGGCTAGGGGCTGCCCCAGAGCTTCCCACAGCCCAGGTCTCCAAGGCAGGCAGAGGAGCCTCCGGCCCAGGGATGAGGATCTGTGTAAGAGCCCAAGGGCCTGGTTCTAAGGTATCCATGCTGCGCCCTCAGGTCCCAGAGCCCCCACCTGTCCAGTGTGGAGATCAGAGGGGGCGCAATCCCATGCCACTGGGGCAAAGTTCCTCACCGAGGGGTCAAAGTCCACACTGGTGATGCTGCCACCAGCTCCCTCCAGGGTCTGGTTGACCTCTAGGCGACCTGGGAGGACCAGGAGAAGGGACAGTTGAAATGAGATCCTAACCTCACAAAATGGAGGAATTGGGATTGAGAGCAAAGATCAGTCCCCATTGCCCCCCCCCACCCCCACAGGTTAGAAGACAGAATCGCTGGGTCTGTTCTGTGGCCTGGGCTGGAGACTACACCTCCCCTAACTGCTGGCAGTGGGTCCCAGGGACAGCTAGTCATTTCACAGACCAGGCTAGAGAGGACCAGGAAGAAGGGACTATCTGTGGGTCACGCAGCAAGGGATCAGGCCAGCCAGAAACTTGCCTTTTCTAGGAAGCCCCCAGGAACCAGCTCTGACTCCCCAGGACATCCCCTCTCCAGAGCACAGAGCTTGGGACAAGGCCAACAGTTCATACTTGTCCCTTACCTGAGTTCTGAGAGCTTACGTGATGCTACAAGAGGATCACCTGGTAGACTCAGGGACCTGCTCTTCAAGGGCCTGTCCCTGTAGGACCTCATGATAGGGGACCCCCACCCACCCCCATCAGGGACCATCTGAACTCAGCCTTCCCCATTCTGCAAATCTGGACCCTAGGAGCCAGGAGGCTCCACCCTTCTTCAGAGCAGCGAGCCCCGAGTCTCACTCTTTCCAAGGCATTGTCTAGTCACTGCCCACAGAATATTCCAGATGGAGAAACACAAAGAGATCCAAGACCTCTGCCCACCAAGTGAACTGAGGAGCGGGTCTGGAGAGAAGCCCCAAGTTGGCCTGCAGGGGAGGGCTCCTTACTTCCCACAACATTCCAGAGGTGGATCAGGCGGTCAGCCCCTCCAGTGGCCAGGAGGCTGCTGTTGGGGCCAAAACGAACAGCATTGACCTCAGAGAGGTGGGCATCCTGTGGGGAAAGAGGAGATTGGTGCCCCAGCCCTCCCCACACATATCTCTGTGAGTGCTCACAGGCCTTCCCACCGGTGCCTGTGCAGACACAGCCTGCTGCAGACATGGTATCCCCATCCCCGGTTTCTCTGTCTACACTTTTGAGTTTCAAACCCGGCCCCACCAGGTGTTCTCACCTCTGCCAGGACCCCTGCAGCAGCCTCCGTGCTATGCTACTCTACTCTCCTGCCTGGCCTCCCAGCCTCCTCTCTCTCCCTCCCTGGCCCATTCCCCCATCATAACATGCGTAAGTGACTCCCACCACAGGCTGTGGGAGGCAGCCTCCTCCTCCTGCTGAGGAGCCCAGCCTTGCTTCCCTAGCCTCCTGGGACCACCCCTGTGCCTGCACTTCCTCACCACTGCCCCACCCATATGGCTCAGCTCCTCCCTTACCAGCACATCCTGAGCCTGGGTAGGAAGTCGGGTGGCCACACATACAGGGATGATCTGGTATCGCTGCTCAGGGGCTCCCCCAATTGAGTGACCTCTCCTCTTCTTAAAACTGGGCGTAAGGTGGGTTGGGGTCAGGAGGGCATTCAGCAAGGCCTTCTCAGGTGGGAGCCTTCAGCTCCCCTGAGGCATCAACCATAGGAAGCAGATGGGGCAGGAGGCAGAACATGGCCCCAAGAAGCAGCGAGTGCATTCCTCAACCCAGCCTTTACCCCAGGGGTCAGTGTGGAGAGCACACAGAGGCAGGCACAGGAGCAGGGTAGGGTTGGTAGGTGCAAAGAAACCTCAGGGCTGGGGTTTCAATCCCAGTCTTGCCACTTCTTGGCTCTGTGACTCTGAATGAAAAATGCTCATTCAGAGCATTTTTCCCAATTGAGTAGGAGCTCCTGCCCTGCCTGAGGCTGGAGCTCTTGGTCCCCTGTGAGGACCTTGGATGAAGACAGACCCTTGTGATGACAGAACCTGGAAGACAGCTGAGCAGGGGCTGGGGCTGAGGCCATTCACCTGGCTCCTGTCTCCAGGGCCCAACAGACTCACACAGACAGCTGCGCACCACAAGGATGGACAGGTCGAGGCGCAGACACAGACCAAGCCTGGGCTGGGGAACCTGACACACACGTGGGTGCACACAGGCACACACACACTTACTCCAGAAGCCCCTTCACCACATCCACACAGTGGGACAGCGTCAGGGAGGTGGCTGAGGCAGACCTGAGACAAAACCGAGAGAGATGTGCTAAGGGATTGGCTGGTGTGTGTACAAATGGCTGTCCATCATCTCCACACTTTGCCAGAGACCTGGAGGCTCGTAACCTCTCAAGTCTGGGACAAGAACTTGACTTCTCCAAGACCAGGAGACTAGGATGACCCAGACCAGTCCCAGGAAGGTCAGGGCAGCAATGGATTTGGTAATGAAAGTCTCCCAAGGTCTCCCTCATGATGAGAAGAACTGCCTCACCCTACAAGTACCCACCAACAAAAGTTCCTGGGAAGCTGAGCTGGGGCCTACAGAGAGAAGAGGCGCTGAAGGTTCCCCCAGGGTGGGGAAAGGATGGGGAAGCCTAGGCTTGCTGGGTGACCTCAGCAATGCCCAGGAGAGGGTGTGTCCTGCAATTACTTGGCCCACAAGGGCTCCCAAGGACTTTGGGGACCAGCATCTCATGCCCCTCCCCACAGTTTCTTCACTGCCCCAAGGCCTGGACACTGGGGACCTGCAAGGAAAGACTGAGAAGAGGCGTTAGGCTGGGGAATGGGGCCCGGAGAGGGGCAGCCTCAATGACAGGCAAATCAAGAGGGGAGACCCTGTGGAGGGGTACCCAAGGTCTGAAGCCCCAGTCAGGTCCCACAAGTGTTAGCGCACATCTACACGTGCTCATACGTTCACACACAGACGGGCTTAGTCAAGTTTGTACACACCTGTGTCTCATGTCCCTGTGGATGCACATGCTTGTACACCTATGGCTGCACACACATGCCTGGCATGACTGGGCTCTGGGCTTTACCCACAGGTTCCCTCCTGGTGACAGCTATTCACAAGCCTGACACCCCACCCCCAGAGCTCTGATCCCAAGAAGGAGGGAAAGGGTTGAGGGTAGGGGTTGGGGTGGGTGAGATGGAACTGACCACAAGTGGCTCCAGACAATGGAGGTCAGACTAGCCCTGGGAGATCTGAGCTTTCCGGCCTCTCCTCAAGCTCCCTCCCAACCCAAGAGCTGACTCCAAGGTCCAAGAGGAAGACCCTGGCAGCCTCTGGGGTGGGGCTGAGCTCAGAGCTCTGAGACCACCACCTGGGTCCTCACCTGAAGGGCCTCTTCCACTTCTCACAAGCTTCATTCTCCAGGGGCTCTGGCTCAGGGGCTAGAGCCAGAGTCTCGGTTCTCTCCCTCATCCCATCGCCTACAGTGTCCGGACCCCTAGGAGGAGAAATGAAGCTCAGAAACGCCAAGGGACCAAGCCAGCCCCTCCTGACCCCAGCACAGGACACGCTGAAGACAGGAATTCTCAGTGATGAGGGTTCTGTGTGGGTACACGTGCAGCGGGCATGCATGCAGGCTCCTACGACCACACGGTCGTCTGCAGGTGTCCCGTGGGCCCCGACTACTTGGGGTCCTCGGGACGCGGCTATGCACAACTACAGTCGGCGGCCTGGGTCGCCGCAGGCAGGCGGGGCCGGGAGGCAGAACACAAGGGTCGGACCGGCCCATCCCCACTCTTACTCGCTGATGCTCACGGTCCGCTTGGCAGCCTTCTTCAGCTCCTGGGACACCCGCGCCTGCTTGGCCCTTGTTGGGTAAAAAGCATCCTGAGAGCCTGGCGCGGCGCCTCGCACGCAGGCGGGGCGCGACCCGGTCCCTTTCTCCAGTGAGCGGCTGCTGCCCGCCTCCCTTCCAGACACAAGCGAGGCCCGACTCTCCCTTCAGGGGCGGGGCCTTTCCTCAGAAGGGGCGGGGCCTGCTCCTCACCGCTCCCGGCGCTCGTTGAGCAGGTTGCGCTCAGCTGCGGCGCGCGCCTTGCGCTGCACGAGCCTCTCCAGCAGGTCGCGCGCCTCCTCCTGGAGCCTGCGCAGTGCCGCCTCCCGGAGCACCACGTGCGCGCGCAGCGCCTCGTAGGCTGCCCGCTGCACAGCGTTCTGCGCCCGCCGCTCTTCCACCTGCTGGGCCTGCTGCGCCCGTGCCTCTCGCAGCTGCGCCACGCGGACCTTCAGGGTTGCCAGCCTGGAGGATGGAAAGAGCGGATAGCGGGTCCCGAGCCTCCCCCGTCACTGCCCAGTGGGATTCTGCCTCGGAGCAGAGACCGACGTGCCCATGCCAAACGCGGCTAGCCGGTGGCTAAGCCAGGTCTCCCCCAAGACTTCGCCCTCAGAGCCCAGCCGTTCGGTCCTCTGGCACCAACCGATAGGCTCAAGGGCACGTGGGGAAAGCTCTTGGCCCGCGCCATTCTCCCGCATGGTTGGCCCTGGGCCTCGCCGAGGTGGGCTTGGTCCCTCCCGCCCCCGCCCCGGCCCCCGCCCCCGCCCCCGCCCGCGCCCGCGCCCCCGCCCGCGCCTGCGCGTCACCTGCTTTGCAGCTCCTGCAGCTCCGACTCCAAGGCGCCCAGGGCCACGCTCTTCTCCACCACCTGGTAGGCCATCTGGGGGCGGACAGGTGAGCACGGCGGCGCTGAGGCCCCTCCAGGCCTCTAGTCCCTCCCGGGCCGAAGGCGCTAAGGGACAGTTGGCTGCTCCCCTGCCCGCCCCCTTCCTGAAAAACAAGCCGTGCCCCACACAGGTTTGGGACCTTGCAGAGGGACGCGCTGCTGTTTGTGGAGCAGTGGAAGGCCCTCGGGCTCTGGAATCAGCCCTGTGTCCCAGTCCTCGCTGTGCTGCTTCCTTTCTCTGCGACCCTACTAGGAACCTCTCTGGCAAGAGCAACCCGCTACGCTGCCTCGCCTGAAGAGTGAGAAGACATCGCTCCGCTCCCAGCGCCATGCAGAACCACTGCGAGGACTCCTAGCGCAGAGGCTGCTAAATGCCCATCCGGCCCTCGGGTGCCATGATGTTCCCAGCAGGCTACATGCTCTTTCCATCCTCACCACACCAGGAGGCTGGTACTGCCACTCTCACTTCACAGACGAGGACACCGACAGAGAGGTTTAAGTGTCTGGCCCAAAGTCACGTAGCTAAGAGATTTGAGCCCAAGCCACCTAACTGCATCACCCTCCAGGCTGGTCAGGGGAATGTGAGTTCTGTTCCCCACCCCTCCCTGGGGCCTTCCTGGCTTCACTCAACCCAGGCCTGCCCAAGCACAGGTCTCAGCAGCGAGGAGCCCTGCGCAGAGGCACACAAGGCTAAAATCAGGCATGGACTCGGGGAGCCAGGGCCCAGACTCAATATGGGAACAGCCCTGGCAGCCTAGGAGAGGCAGTGAGGGTCATTTCATCTGCACCCCCGCCTCACTCGACATGCCTTCAACTCAGAGCCAAGCAGGGTCGGTGGGAGAGACAGACCCCAGGCAAGGCAGCTCCCACCAGTGTGACAAAAGAACATGAGGGCCAGAGGCGCCTCTGGCCCAGGCCAAGGCTGGGGGCTCTTATTGGTAATCTGTTCCTGTGTTCTCACGTGGGCCTGGTGAGGACAGACTGAGAAGCAAGGTTGATGCTGCCACCTGCACTGACATGACGCCCTATGTGAGTGAGTCTGCGGAGAGGGAATCTGCACATGCGGGTTGGGGCACCTTTATTCATAGTTGGCCCCATTTATAACATAATTGTTTTCACCACTGAGTAATCTGATCACCACCTCCACTTTCTCACCTGTTACTTGCTTTCATTTATGTTGTACTATTATGTTATACCATTCAATATTTCATTGTATGCCTTTCAAAATTCAAGTAGTAGAGGTAGAAAACAGATTAGTAGTTGCCAGGGGTAAGGGATGGTTGAGGGGAGAGGGGTGAATGTGACTAAAAAGGGGTAGCAAGAAAGAGATCTTTGTGGTGGTGAAACAGTGCCATATCTTGATGGTCACACAAATCTACACGTGATAAAATGATAAAGGACATATACACACTTAACACCAATCCCAGTTTCCTGGTTGTGGGTACTATAGTTATGTAAGATGTAGCCAGTGGGAGATGCTGGGGGAAGGGGACGCAGGAACTCTCTGGACTATCCTTGCAACTTCCTGTGAATCTATAATTATTTTAAAATAAAAAGTTAAAGTAATAATAATGATAAATGCTTGTGATGTGTGGAACTACTAGATAAATTTTTACAAAAGAAAAGAAAAAGCCTCCCCACTGCCCCCATCCACTGGCGCATCCAATGGGTACTGGCTGGTGTGTGTCCAGGGAAGGAATGCTGGGGGCCAGGGAAAGCATCCCAGGCAAAGGGAGCCGGGAGCTCAGAGATGAGAGTGGCAGGAAATGCAACAGGAGCCTGGTGAGTTCAACGGGGGAGCCAGGCTAGGAGCTTTGGAAGATCTACAGCACACTAACCATGTAGAGAGGTAGTAAGACGGGCCTTTACTTTTTACTTTATGGCTTCTATTCTCTTGAGTTGTTTACAAGCATGTTTTGTGTACTGCTTGTCTTTAATGGAGATCTTTTTTTTAATTAAAATATGTCACTCTGAAAGCTGTATGGAGAAGGGACAGGGAGTGCTGAAGGAGTGTTCCAGGGTAGGATGAAAGTTACTTGTACCATGTCAGATATGGTACAAGAAACAGACATTGATGGATTTGGGGATAGTCAACATGACCTTGTGACCAGCTCAGGATGGAGGGCTGGGAAGAGTCAGAGGCGCCCGGGCGTTTCCAGCCTGTGTGAGAACCACTGGGGGGCAGTCACAGGAAGGACAGCCCACCTCATTCATAGCTTAGTCTACAAATAGTCCTTAGTATGGAATGGACTGTGGACACAGGCCCTAAAGATACAGGTTTGCCTTGGAGGCAAAACAAGACATCCCACGGCTTGGGGAGCTCACAGCCGAGGCAGGGGGTGGTGTAGGGGGTCAGATGTTTGAGAATCACCTCTCAAACAAATATTGAATTGGACCTACAACAGCAGCTCTGGGGAAAGGTTCTCAAATGAGTCCGTACCTATGCCCACACTTCTGTTGGGCAGGTGACTTGCCATGCTGTGACTGGATGTGTATTTACTGGGCTATCACAGTCTCCTTCAGAGGACTGGAAGCCCCCATGGGCCAGCTCTTGTTTATTGCTGCATTCCCTGTACCTTGGATATAGCAACTGTCAATAGATGTTGAGAGAATGAATGGAGAGAACAGAAGGTGATTTGTGTGAGAGGGGCTCAAATCCTGGCTCTACCTCTCCAAGCCTCAGTTTCCTCCTCTGCAACCATAAAGTTGTGAAGGATTAACTGAGACAATGTTTAGCCCAATGCCTGCAGGGAGTCAACTCTCAAAACAGCATGGACCAAAACAGCGTGGGCCAAATTCTGGGGGAGATGGTGAGCCTGATTTTAGATGTGATGTCCAAAAAGCAGCTAAGCAAGAGAGTCAGGAGATCAGAAAAGAAGGCTGGGCTAGAGACAGATCTGAGAGTTGGCAAACAGAGAAAATGGGAGTCCGTGAGCCCCAAGAACACCCATATTTGAAGGAAGGGGAATAGGGAGGAGGGAAAGGAGGCAGTGAAGGAAGTTCAGAGGCAACAATCACAAAAATGAGAGGGAAACTAGGAGAGCATGGTGCAAGAGAAGCCGAGAGATACTGTTGCAAGGGGACAGGGAAGGCGGTAGTGTCAGGTGGAGCGTCCATACCCTGCCAATGAGCTAAATGAACCTTACTCCTGTAGTCTGCAAATGTACATTGAGCATCAACTGGTGCGAGGCCTTGGGGATGGCTGGGCGAGGGGTTAGCCATGGAGTAGTGAGCAGAGTAGGCTAAACAATGTGGAAGGGAAATGGGCTGCCAGGCCCTTGCACACCTAACTCCCTCCAGCTGCTGTTGGACCCACTTCATTGTGGGCTGCCCGGGGCACTCTGACCCCTGCTCAGCTTCAGGTCAGGGCCTGGCACACACTAGGGCTCACTCAATGCTTGCAGCACTGGGCTTGGAGAATGCAGCAAACACAGGTGTACCCCTCACTGGCTGGCTCCCTTGGACCACATCTCTCTACACCATTTTCAGACCCCTTCCCAACTTACCTCACCACAGACCAGCCGGAGCCCCTCTTCCTCCTCCTGCCACTTCACCCTCAGTGTGGGCAGTGATGGGACTTGGTCTGAGTCAAGCCCTGACTCCTCCCTGCCAACCAATCAGAGTGGTGCTCAATGTCCCCCAGTTCACCCAAGTGCCCAAAGGCACCCAAGGGATGCTACATGAAAAGCCTAAAACAAGAGCCATTAACTTCCTCCTGGGAAGATGGAAGCTAGCAAGCCAGTAAAGGAAAAGGCAAGTCTCTAGAAATGAGCTGTCCATGACTCTTCTGCTCCAAGATTCCCCTAGGCCTTGGCCAAGGACCCTTCTCAAGAGCCACCTCCCAGCCGGGTACGGTGGCTCACGCTGTAATCCCAGCACTTTGGGAGGCCGAGGTGGGCGGATCACAAGGTCAAGAGATGGAGACCATCCTGGCCAACATGGTGAAACCCCGTCTTTACTGAAAATACAAAAATTAGCCAGGGGTGGTGGTGTATGCACCAGGAGGCTGAGGCAGGAGAATTGGTTGAACCCAGGAGGCGGAGGTTGCAGTGAGCTGAGATCAGGCCACTGCACTCCAGCCTGGCTGACAGAGCCAGACTCCGTCTCAAAAAAAAAAAAAAAAAAAAGAAGCACCTCCCAACTCTGAATCCCAACCTATTCCTGGTTCTCATCTTTACTCCCTCTTTGGAATAGGTAGCAAGACCCTTTCTTTAGGCATCAGGCAAGGAACAGGGAAATAGAAAAAGACTGAGAAAGGGAAAAGACGTTAAGTGTAGGGGTGGGAGGGGAAGGAGATGGGACAAATGCAGAAAGATGGACAAAGAAAGTTGGAGGGGAAAGAGATTCTAAACAGCTATCCTGTGGGAAGGCCAAGGGCCTGCCTCCCCCACCACCCCCACCACCCCTGGGCAGCAGCCAGGGGCTGATGAGGCGCTAGGGAGAGAATGAACCCAGCACAGGCAGCTCTTTGTGACCACAGACACACATACACTCACCAGGGGCCCTGGTGGGTGGTGGGAGTGACACTGTTTGGCTCCGGCTGCAGCTTCTTTGAGAACTTGTCCAGCAGCTCAGCCTTCTCTAAGAGATGGTTATCTGGAGGGTGCAAAAGAGTGAGCCTGGGGCAGAGACAGATACCCAGCAGCCCCCTGGCATGCAAGTTATCTCCAGCTAGGATGGCTGCAGGAGCCCAGAGATGCTAGGCATGGGGAAGCTTCTGGCAGGCTGGCCTTGCCCCGTGCCTGAGGGGCGTCTGTGCAGCTCTACAGGACCTTCAGCCCTAGCAGTGTCCTCATAGCACCGGTACCCAGGCCCACCGGGAAGAGGACCTGCTCTCCCAGGGACAGAAGGATGACCACTGCGGGGTACTGCCTGCTGAGGGTCCTGAGGGAAGGAAGGGGCCTGGAATTGATTCATCCCTGCCTCAGAGCAAGGTTTAGCCCCAGAAAGTGATAAACCGAGCTCTACCTGTCAATAGCCTTTGGCAAGTCACTTCCCCTCCAAGGGCTCTAGCTTTCTGCACTTAAAAATAATCCCCGGCCAGGCGTGGTGGCTCACGCCTGAATTCCCAGCACTTTGGGAGGCCAAGGTGGGCGGATCACAAGATCAGGAGATTGAGACCATCCTGGCTAACACGGTGAAACCCCGTCTCTACTAAAAATTACAAAAAATTAGCCAGGCGTGGTGGCAGGCGCCTGTAGTCCCAGCTACTCTGGAGGCTGAGAAGGGAGGCTGGTGTGAACCCGGAAGGCGGAGCTTGCAGTGAATGGAGATCCCGCCACTGCACTCCAGCCTGGGCAACAGAGAGAGACTCCCTCTCATAAATAAATAAATAAATAATCCCAACTTCCCCAGCCCTGGTGTAAGGTACCCCCAGGCTAGAATAGAAAGTCCTTAAGCAATTATTCAGCAGACATTCTGGAGGTTTTGACCCTGGAACACACTCCCTCCCCCATCAACAGTCACTTCCTCTTTTCTCACCAGTTCCAGGGGAGGGCGGGGTAGTAAGCCCAGGCCTAGCTCCCTCCTCATCAACTTCCTTCCCACACTACTTCCCACCTGTCTGTCACCTTGACTGAGGCCCCTGGGCCTGGCCTAGTTCTCACGAAAACCCCACCTCAGCCCCCAGGGTACTGCATCCCCCAGCAAACCTAAAGAAGGTCTCTATACCCAATTAACAAGTAAGAAGCTGAGGTTAATACCTAATTAACAAGTAAGAAGACTGTGACCTGCCCAAAGTCTCAAGACTGGCCCTTCGGTCTGATTTCAGCCCTCCAGGTCTCTCCAGTCCCTCAGACTCACAGCTCCCTGGGGGGGGGGGGGGGGGGGCGGTGACCCCCCCCCTCAAACTGGACGGTTCCACTGTCCGTCTGAGCAGTGGAAAAGTGTGGCTGCTGGAGGTGGGGGCTGGCCTCGAAACCCTGAAGGCAGAGGACCAGCAGCCTGGAAGCTTGCAGAGAAATTTCCCTGGCTAAGAGCAAATTTGATTGTGGGGGTTTGGCCAAGATTAGCCCCAGTGAGAGAGCCGCAGGGACTGTGATTAGACTTCCAACAGCAGACATACAATCGCTGGTGGCCAGAGGCGCGATACACAGGCACACCTGTTCATCCCGTCTTGAACTGCCACACCCCATCCTGACCAGCTGCCCAGAAACCATTCTGAGAGTCCGACTTCGCTGGACTCAGCCGGCATCCGCCAGCAGCCCGGGGCCCCCTGATGCCCCCTCAGGTTGGGTAGGCTGACGGGGAGGTGTTCCATAAGCCTGCGCCAGCGTCGCCTGTCGGCGGCAGAGCCTGAGATGCACAGCCTCCTCCTTAGAGGTTCCGAGTGTCGCCCCTCTCCGGATGGGCCAATAAGTGGCTGCTCTGGACAAGTCCCGCGTTCTTTCATTGCGCTACGGAGACTAAGTGCACTAATCAAGCCCCTACCCCGGGGACTGCCCGGAAGGGGAGGCACAAGAGACCCTTCAAAACCAACACCCGGGGACGCACTTGCGTCTCGGAAGCCCAGCTCGTGGGAGGCAGAGCCCGTCCTGATGGGCGACGAGGGCGGGGGGGCAGGAGGGGCTTGTCCAGGTTCTAAGCAGAGCCTGGATGGCAAGGGGCGGAGTCCTGGCAGTCGGGGTGGGCGTAACGCACAGGCTCAAGGCACAAGGCACAGCGCACTCGGGTCACAAGCGGAGGAGCCAGTCAAACCCTCTCCCCGCGCCCGTAGTCGCGTCCCCTCAGCGACCATCCTCTCAGCCCCGGGGCGCACTCACAGGCCGGCACCAGCTCCAGGAAGAGCGCCTTTTGCATACGGTCCCGAAGACGCAGCTGCCACACAATGTGGCGTTTCCATCGGGCTACGGGGGCGCCGGGGACGCCGGGCCCAGCCATGGCCGCGCTCTGCCGCCTCTCGGCGCGTTCCTCCCGCCCAGGACGGCGCCAGGCCCGGGCGGGGCCTTGCGCGGACTCCGTTACGCCAGGGGGCGGGCGGTGGCGGGGAATCCCCGGCTTGTCCCAAGAGCGCTCTGGTTGGGAGGACCGAAGGCCGACGCCGGGAGGAGCCGCCTCCGGTAGGAGCCGCCTCCGGGTCTGAACCGCCGGGGTCCCGTCCGAAATGTTCATCTAAGTGGGGGCTCTTGTGGCTGTGAGGGTCATAAGCAGGAGCGAGGTCGGAGCCTCCGGGGCGGCTTCCCCCACGCGGGTGGAGCGCTCCGGAGGTGGGGCCCTCAAGGTCCGGGTCCCTTAACCCCGTCGCGCCCGGGCGGAGTCCCACAGCTGCTGATGCTCCCCATGCCGCTGCGGTCCCGGCCGCGCGCCCAGTCAGGGACCCGGAGGCCCTCAGCCCCGGGCTCTGCGCGTACACTGAGGGCGCGCGCAGCAGGACAGCGAGATAAGGAAGCAGAGACGGAAGGGAGGAATCCCAGCTTTCCGGGGATGATGGCGTTCGAGTTGGGTCTGTGAGGGATGAAATAGGAGTTGGCCAGAGGGAGAGAGAGGGACTCTAGGCCTCGAGAAGAGCACGTGCAGAGGTTCCGTGACACGAAAACGCCAGGTAGGTGTGGGGCTGGGAGGACAGGAGGCAGAAGGGTTTATGGCTCCACATGGTCGCCGAAATTTTAGGTCCCTGAGAGTAAAGGGGTGCAGCTGCTTTCATCTGGAAAGCCCCTGGCCGGGAGGAGAGAAGGGACTTGCTTGCCTGGGGTTGCAAGGGAGTGGGTGGCTGAGATGGCCAGCACCCCAGCATCCTGACTCAGGGCCGGATGCTTCATCCCACTGGGTGGAGCAGACACATCTCTTGTGGATACCCTTGAAAGTGAACCGTGGGTCGCAGGGCACTGGTCAAATCGTCTCTAGCTAGGTGCTAGAGAGCCACCTCTGCAGGCTCAGGCTCCTGTGACACACGAAAGGAGGGACTCGCTGGGCCCAGCCTCACCCTGGGGCATGCCAGCAGGCCCTGCCCTCTAAGTGCTGGCAGACCTGGCCTTCCTTAGGAAATGAGAGAAATTGGGCAACCTTGGGAGAGCAGTGCAGGCCCTGGAGGTGACGAGTCTGTTGAGATTCTGATGGGGACGAGTCAGAGGATGTAGAAAGCAGCGAAGGCCCAGTCGCCCCCAGGTCAGTGTAGCCTGCCCTGCTTTCACAGTGAGCTGGGCTCAGTCTCTCATATGTCACTGTCTTAGACGCCCATGGCCTTTGCACAGGCCAAGCCTGATGTTTGGAACACCATCCCCTCTAGCGGGCCTGGCTCCTAATCATGCATCACCTCCTCCAGGAGTACTTTCCTGCCCCTACACTAAGTTCAAGCTTCTCAGATACCAGCCCCAGTTGAGTTCGAGTTACAACTGTCGCCAGTTATCACACCATCCTGTAATCTGTGCAGTGCCCCTTAGGGCAGGGCCTGGGTCCCAGATGTCTCTGTACCTCTAGCCCCAGCCCAGGCCTGGCCTGTCTCTTGAAGGAGTATTTCTGTTTTTTTTTTTTTTTTTTTTTTTTTTTTGAGACAGAGTCTCGCTCCGTCGCCCAGGCTGGAGTGCAGTGGCGGGATCTCAGCTCACTGCAAGCTCCGCCTCCCGGGTTCACGCCATTCTCCGGCCTCAGCCTCCCGAGTAGCTGGGACTACAGGCGCCCGCCACCTCGCCCGGCTAGTTTTTTGTATTTCTTAATAGAGACGGGGTTTCACCGTGTTAGCCAGGATGGTTTCGATCTCCTGACCTCGTGATCCGCCCGTCTCGGCCTCCCAAAGTGCTGGGATTACAGGCTTGAGCCACCGCGCCCGGCCAGGAGTATTTCTGTTAAAGATGGGTGGTAACATTCAGCAAAAGGCATGCCCAGGAGACAGGCACAGTGCCCATGGAGACCCAGGGCCAGCTGATGACAGTGATGAATTCCCTTTAGAACTGGCTGACTCTTGGGTGCTTGGAGACACTATATAAATAAGGAACTCTGGCTGTGTGCATTGGAGAAGATATTAACAGGGCTTGGCCTGGCTGTGAGGTGCAGAGATGCTGTTTCTCTCAGGTAAGGAGTCATATTGGGGCAGGGTTTCCTAATCCTTTTTTGACTCACAAAATACACCTAGGAAATACTAAATAAATTGTCATTTTTGAGTAGTATATGATAAAGAAGTGATTGATTTTGACTAAAAATATTCATGTTCTACTTTTAGAATATGAAAGACTGTATTACAAAGATCACTTGAAATAAAATTTTAGATAACATAATATATGGAGACAAATTTCTGCTTTTTACATTTAACTTGCTCTTTAATGTATCTCAAATTAATTATGTAAGAGAAATATTATTTGACCAATAAATATAAAAAAGTGTTATACCATGATCTGGGGACCTAATGTACTTTACTTTTTTTGTTCTGTTTTGTTTTTGAGACAGGGTCTCTCTCTGTTGCCCAGGCTGGAATGCGATGACACAATCATGGCTCACTGCAGCCTCATTCTCCTGGGATTAAATGATCCTTCCACCTCAGTCTCCTGAGTAGCTGAGACTACAGGCACATGCCACTATACCTGGCTCTTTTTTTGTTTGTTTTTGAGACAGAGTCTCACTCTGTCACCCGGGCTGGAGTGCAGTGGTAAATCTCGGCTCATTGCAACCTCCACCTCCGGGGTTCAAGCGATTCTCGTGCATCCGCCTTTCGAATAGGTGGGATTACAGGCACGCGTCACCACACCCAGCTAATTTTTGTACTTTTAGTAGAAATGGGGTTTCACCATGTTGGCCAGGCTGGTCTCCAGCTCCTGACCTCAAGTGATCCACCCACCTCAGCTTCCCAAAGTGCTGGGATTACAGGCGTGAGTCACCGTGCCTGGCCACCCAGTTCATTTTAAATTTTTCTTTAAAGACAGGGTCTCACTATGTTGCCCAGGCTGGTCTTGAACTCCTGGGCTCAAACATTCCTCCTGCCTTGGCCTCCCAAGTGCTAGCATTACAGGCACGAGCTACTGCACCTGACCCTAAAGTACTTTAGAATGTAGTTTAAAACTTGCACCTGGCTGGGCGCGGTGGCTCACACCTGTAATTCCAGCATTTTGGGAGGCCGAGGCGGGCAGATCATGAGGTCAGGAGATTGAGACCACAGTGAAACCCCGTATCTACTAAAAATACAAAAAAATTAGCCGGGTGCAGTGGCAGGCCCCTGTAGTCCCAGCTACTCAGGAGGCTGAGGCAGGAGAATGGTGTGAACCTGGGAGGTGGAGCTTGTAGTGAGCTGAGATCGCGCCACTACACTCCAGCCTGGGGGACAGAGCGACACTCTGTCTCAAAAAAACAAAAAAAACAAAAAAAAAAACTTGCACCTGGGAGGCCAGACACGGTGGCTCACACCTGTAATCCCAGCACTTTGGGAAGCTGAGGCAGGTGGATCACAAGGTCAGGAGTTCAAGACCAGCCTGGCCAGAATGGTGAAACCCCATTTCTACTAAAAATACCAAAAAAAAAAAAAAAAAAAAAAAGCCAGGCTTGGTGGCTGGTGCCTGTAATCCCAACTACTTGGGAGGCTAAGGCAGAGAACTGGTTGAACCTGGGAGGCAGAAGTTGCAGTGAGCCAAGATCGCACCACTGCACTCCAGCCTGGCGACAGAGCGAGACTCCATCTCGGAAAAAAAAAAAAAAAAAAAAAAAAAAAAAAAAACCTTGCACCTGGGTTAGGCATCTGCCAGAAGCCAGAGTGATTGTTCAAAAACTTAAATCAGGCCGGGCACAGTGGCTCACGCCTGTAATCCCAGCACTTTGGGAGGCCGAGGTGGGCAGGTCACCTGAGGTCGGGAGTTTAGGATCAGCCTGACCAACATGGAGAAACCCCATCTCTACTAAAAATACAAAAATTATCCAAGTGTGGTGGCGCACGCCTGTAATCCCAGCTACTCGGGAGGCTGAGGTAGGAGAATGGCTTGAACCCAGGAGGCAGAGGTTGCAGTGAGCTGAGATTGCGCCACTGCACTCCAGCCTGAGCAACAGGACAAGACTCCGTCTCAAAACAACAAAAACAAAACCTTAAATCATCTCAAGTTCCTCTTGCTTAAAACCCTTGAAAGGCTCTCCAGCATAGTCAAAGCAAATACCAAACCCTTTACCATGGCCTTCAAGGCCCTGCTTGATCTAGCCCCTGCCCACATCACTGATCTTACCTCTTCCTACTCTTTAGCCTTATTCACTGCACTGAAATCCCACTGCCAAGCTTAGTCCCACCTTGGAGGCTTTGCCCTGGCTGCACCCCCTTCCTAGTGCTCTTCCTCCACAACTTTTAGGGGCTAGCTCCTACATACCAGGCGGACCTTTTCTGTCACCCATTCTGAAAAAGCTCCCATCCCAATAAGCATCTATCACATCACCCTTGTTCTTCCTTTCAGAGCCCCTAATACTCCCAGAAAGAATCACATTTCTGTGTTTGCTAGCTGTTTATTATGTCTCTTCTACAGACAGGCTGGTCTGTGGTTACAGTGATTTCTTTTTTTTTTTTTTTTTTTTTCTGGAGACGGAATCTCGCTCTGTCGCCCAGGCTGGAGTGCAGTGGCATGATCTTGGCTCACTGCAACCTCCGCCTCCCGGATTCAAGCAGTTCTCCTGCCTCAGCCTCCTGAGTAGCTGGGACTACAGGCACATGCTGCCACGCCCGGCTAATTTTTTGTATTTTAGTACAGACAGGGTTTTACCACGTTGCCCAGGCTGGTCTCGAACTCCTGAGCTCAGGCAGTCTGCTTGCCTCGGCCTCCCAAAGTGCTAGGATACAGGCGTGAGCCACCACACCTGGCAGTAGAGTGATTTCTAATATTGCCCGTGACTCTGTTGGCTGAACTCAGCTGGTGATTCTCACTTTGAGTGGCTTATGTGACTGCGATCACACCAGGACTGGAGTTACCTGAAGACTCAGCTGGGCGGGTTGCTATTGATGGCTTGCTTGCTCATTTGGCTGGCAGGAGATGCCATCCATTGGTTAGAGGGTCGGAGCTGCAGACCAAAGCACCTACATATGGCCCCTTCGCATGGCTTAGCTTTCTCAGAGCATGGTGGCTAGATTCTGAGAGGGAGCATCCCAAAACATGCATCCAACAGTACGAAAGCTGTCAGTCTCTTACGATTTGACCCTGAAATTAGAACACATCACTTCCTCTGCATTCTATTGACCAAAGCAGTCACAGACCAGCTCAAATTGAAGGAGAGGGGACATAGGCCCCAGCTTTCAATGAAAGGAATGTCAAGCCAGGCACAGTGGCTCACACCTGTAATCCCAGCACTTTGGGAGGTCAAGGCGGGCGGATCACGAGGTCAGGAGTTCGAGACCAGCCTGACCAACATGGTGAAACCCTGTCTCTACTGAAAATGCAAAAATTAGCTGGGTGTGGTGGTACATGCCTGTAATCCCAGCTACTCAGGAGGCGGAGGCAGGAGATTTGCTTGAACTCCGGAGGTGGAGGTTGCAGTGAGCCAAGATTGCACCATTGCACTCCAGCCTGGGCAACAGAATGAGACTCCATCTCAAAAAAACAAGAAAAAAAAAAAAAAGGAATGTCAAAAAATGTCTGGCCATCTTTAATCCACCCCATGTGATACTAAATAAAACTCCAAATCTCAGTCGCTTAACACAACAAAGACTTACTTCTTACTCATCCCACATTAGACAATGATGGTGTACTGTTCTCCCCCAGCAGTGACTTAAAACCAGAGTGCGTCCTTCTGACATCACCATAATCTCAGTTATTTGATTTCAACTGCTCAGATCGGGGTAGGGGAAAGGGAAAAGACTGAGATTAACACTTAATTGCCTTGGACTGAAATGACACATTCTTCTGCCCAGTTCCAATTGGTGACATCACATCTACTAGGAAGGCTGAGAAATGTAGTCTTTCCATATTTCCTGGAAAAGAGAAATGGGTGTGGATACATCACTGTGGTTAACACACACCAGTTTCCCAGTCTCCTCCTCTAAAAGCATCACCACTAACACTACATAGTGTATACTTCCAGAAACATTTGTGCATATACAACACATAAAACACAAAGGGGGCCAGGCACGGTGGCTTACGCCTGTAATCCCTGAGCAGATCACTTGAGTCCAGGAGTCTGAGACTAGCCTGGGCAACATGGCGAAACCCTGTCTCTTCTAAAAATACAAAAATTAGCCAGGCATGGTGGCACGTGCCTGTAATCCCAGCTACTCCAGAGGCTGAGGTGGGAGGATCACTTGAGCCCAGGAGGCAGAGGTTGCACTGAGCTGTTATCATGCCACTGCACTCAGCCTGGGTGACAGAGTGAGACCTTGTCTAAAAAAAAAAAAGAAAAAAAAAACCCACAGAAAACACAAAGGGTAGCATTTACAGACTTCCACACTTTGCTTCTTCCTCTTTTTTTTTTTTTTTTTTTATGGCGGAGCCTTACTCTGCTGTCCAGGGTAGAGTGCAATGGCACAATCATAGCTCATTGTAACCTCAAACTCCTGGGCTCAAATAATCCTCCCACCTCAGCCTCCTGAGACTGAAGATATGAGCCACCACACCTGGCCAAGCAAAGGATTTAAATAGACATTTCTTCAGGCCAGGCACGGTGGCTCCTGCCTATAATCCCAGCACTTTGGGAGGCCAAGGCGGGCGGATCACCTGAGGTCAAGAGTTCAAGACCAGTGTGGCCAACATAGTGAAACCCCGTATCTACTAAAAATACCAAAATTAGCTGGGTATGGTGGCGCTTACTTATAGTCTCAGCTACTTAGGAGGCTGAGGCAGAAGAATCACTTGAACCCGGGAGGCAGAGGTTGCAGTGAGCAGAGATCGCACCACTGCACTCCAGCCTGGCGATGGAGTGAGACACCATCTCAAAAATAAATAAATAGACATTTATTCAAAGAAAATATACAAATGGCCAATAAGCATGTGAAAAATTGCTCAACATCATCAGTAGGGAAATGCAAATAAAAAACCACAATGAGATAGCACTTTATATCTACTAAGATGGCTATAATTTTTTAAAAAGAAACTAACAGTGTCAGGGAGGATGCGGAGAAAATAGAACCCTCATGCATTGCTGGTGGGAATGGCTGGTGGCGCAGCTGACGTGGAAAATAGTTTGGAAGTTTCTCAAAAGGTTAAACGTACAACCAGCCGGGCGCGATGGCTCAAGCCTGTAATCCCAGCACTTTGAGAGGCCAAGACGGGCGGATCACTAGGTCAGGAGATAGAGACCATCCTGGCTAACACAGTGAAACCCCCATCTCTACTAAAAAAAATACAAAAAACTACCCGGGCGAGGTGGCGGGCGCCTGTAGTCCCAGCTACTTGGGAGGCTGAGGCAGGAGAATGGCGTAAACCTGGGAGACGGAGCTTGCAG